ATGTATATTTGCCTTGTGTTTATGTTAAAGCAAATAAATTATGAAATTCGTTGACGAAAATTATGAATTTGTTCAAAAGTGTGCAAACACACAGGCAGCTGGCAACATTTCGCCGCTCTCAGCGGCGTCGATAGCTCGTGTATGTATTTCACTACTAACGTCGTCAGTTATGGACGGCTGGAGAGTGAGTTGGGTAGTTGCAGCCTTAGCCAGGTTTCTTGAACATTGTAAAATCTCCACTGTATTTTTCTTAAATTTTAGGTGCTAAATTGTACAGTTTATGTGGGGTGTTAAAGAACTTAGCTTTATCCGTTATCATGAATGGGGTATAATTCAGTAAACTAAAGAATTGTGAGAATTTCTACATAGTACTTCAAAGCTATATATATATAAATCCTATATATATGTATATGTACATATGTCACTTTTATAATTCATAATTGAAACTAAATAATAGTGCACTCTATGGTTTTGTCACGTTTATTAAAATAATTTCGTCTAATATTGCATTTAGTGTTTTCAAGTCGTTCCATATAATCTACCAGGAAAATATGTAAGTGCCATAAATGTACATACATATGAATGCATGTGCTTGGAACCATAATACTAGAATTTTTAAACGTGTTTTCTTTGATCTCTTAGAATTGCCGCTAAAAAATCTATAAATCGAATTTGTATATTTAAAGCAAGCGTGATATATGTACATATGTATGTTTACCGGATTGTGTAATTATGGGGAACAGCTGCTTGTGTTAAGCTCGTTCATAAAGCAACAGGCTCTGGAATTGGTATATGTTGGGATATAATTTGGCAATAGTTTAAAAGTATTAACATTTAGTCTGAGCTTATACGCGGATACTTTTCGTCGCTTTTTGTTACAGTTTTCCTTTTGCGGTCGCCCATTACGTTCACACAGATATTCTTCAAGCAATTTTTCTAAATTGGCTTCTTCGCAATATTTCGAATATTTTCAAGAGAAAAACATTTTGTCTGAAATGAAAGATAAAGCTTTTATTTATCTATTTTTTATAGTATATTTTTACATCCGGTTAAACATCAACTCTATCCTTTCAAAAGTATAATCTATTTTCAAACCTTTACATATGTATCTCATTCCTTCCAGTTATCATAATCTAACCCAACGGTATCATCAAAATGTTCTAATATTTTTTTTAAAGAATTCATCTTTATCTGCAAACTCTTGTTTGAAATATTAATAATTAGATATACATACGCACAGGCTTTTATGTACTTAAAACCAAAGGTTCAATTTTTAAATTTACGGCATTTATTCGTTTGAAATTTGAAATTTTGAAAATTAAGGTAGTCAGTTCAAAGTGAAAAACAAAATAAAAGGAAATTAGAAAATCTGCAGATACCAATAGAAAAAAATGCATGGGACCAGTTCAGCGACACCGTGCGCTGTCGCCTCTCTCTCCCCTAAAAAAGACCTTTTTATTACTGAGAAACATACTACGAATGCCTAGCAAAAGCAATGTTGCCTCAACGAATGCCTAGCAAAAACAATGTTGCCTCATGATATGAAACTTTTTATCTCGTGAGGGAGCTCTAAAAATCCACATTTTTTTTTTTTAATTTTCCAACTATGTTTCTTCGAGGAAAATTTTCCTGTTTACGGAGAGTTTTTCCCTTACTGTTTTAACAAAAAGTTTTGCAAATGTATGTTTTTGAACATTTACGGCTATTTTTTGCCTTATCAAATTTAATTAATATATTATATATAATTGGCGCATTGTAACCGCTGAATCGATTTTCCAACGAGCTCTTCCTTCAATATGTAGTACTGCCCAGTTATCTATAAAATAACAATAAACATGCAAGCTAAATAAAATATTCAGGGAAGTTACAAAAATAGATTGTTGCTAAATAAGAATTGGAAAGACAAAATTCTACCGAGAGAGTAGGCCGCGTTAAGGAATATTTGATAGAAAATAAAATTAAAAGCAGCACTGAAAGGTTTATGAAAATAATGTGCTTTACATTACGTTTTTATGCATCGGGAAGTGTTTTAATTTGTGTTCCGGTGTTGGGCGCAATAAAAGTGGCGACTGGCTGTAGGGTGGTAAATAGTATTCATTCCAATCGCGGCACTTGCCCGATCATTCCTCAGAATACCTAAAAAAAGCAGGGAAAACAGCTGAGGTGGAAGGAAGCCATATACACTGTGTTTAAGCGTCTGCTTAAACAGCGATACATATAAATAAATGTAACTGCCGTGCGCGTGGAGGTATATGGATTTCCTCCTGTTCCCAGAATTGCCTCAGTTGATCAGCAAGTGTATCAGTTGAGATTTCTTCTACTTGTGTCGAGAATGACACCACTTTTTCGGTTACTGGACCGCTAAGGATCCAGCCGAATATAGTGTTTTGCGCAAGTACTGTGTCGCAAATTGTTTGTACACCTTCCACGAGAATTTGTGGGAGTATGTCACTGCATATTACCGTGTCGGTTTGAGCTGGTATATGGCAGTTTGGGTCAGCTAGTTCAAGGATTTTGAACTGTTGCCAGGTATTACGGCTTAAGGTAAAGGTTGGCAAATGCCTCGTTAGCTTTTGTAGAACGATGGCTTGGGCATTGATCCGTTGCTTGGTTTTGGATGATACCAGAGTCAAGGAACAAAGTTTGGATGAGTTTTGGACGATGTGTCCACCCATTCCAGAAATTTCGAACTTGGAATGTTCGACTGGAAGACGCAACCTTTTCTGAACTTTCGATGAAATGAAAGTTCGTTGTGAGCCTTGGTCAACTAAGGCTCTGAGTTGAAACAATTCTCCTTGGTGTTCCACTGCGATAATGGCAGTTGGAAGGAGAGTTCTGCTATCGTATCCCGCATGTAACGATTGAATGTGTGCTTGCTTAGAGCAGCACGGTTGCTCGCTTGGATTGGAGCATGTATGCGCTTGTCGAACTGGAGAAGTTGACTTGGCAGTTGGGTGTTGCACAGTAGAATTATGAGAACTGCTGCTGGCGTTTTGAGCGTTTGGTTTTGCATTTAGGTGCAACAAGGAGTGATGCCGTAACTGCCAATGTGCACATGCAAACCTGCTCGTACAATCATTACTGTGATGACTTCTTGATAAGCAGTTTTTGCAGAGTTTATTCTGCTTCGCAAAACGTATTCTGTTTGGTACCGACATTTTCTTGAAATTGTGGCACTGCGAAATTGCGTGTCGGGAATTGCAACACGGCCATGTGTTATCCCTGTTTTGTTCCGCCACAAATGATTGTATCCTGTTAAAGGATCTATTGTGAGCGATGTTTTGAGTAGCGACTGGTTTCGGTTTGTTTTGGCTTGGATGAAGCCGATTAAGACGCTCCACCACTTCGTATCTAGAAGTGAGGAAGTCATTCATTTGCGACCATGCTGGCAACTCTTTTCGAGATGCAAGAGATTGCTCCCACAAGGATAATGTGGTTTCAGGTAGTTTCGAGGAGCATATATAGACTAACATTGGATCCCAACTGTCTGTAGATACGCCTTGGGAATGTAAGGCGGACAGACAACAAATTATTGTTGTTTGCAGTCTTTGTATTTGCTCGCTATTTTCGGTTTGTACGTTGGGCAGCGAGAGTAGGACTTTTATTTGGTACTGAGGCAATTCTGGGAACAGGAGGAAATCCATATACCTCCACGCGCACGGCAGTTACATTTATTTATATGTATCGCTGTTTAAGCAGCCGCTTAAACATACTCCCCGCCCTGCAGGGATGCGTTGCCCAACGCATTCTGGAGCGTTTGTAGGGCCCGGATCGCGTAGCCGATTGCGCCTCTGGCAGCGCGGTTGCGGAAGGCGGGCGTTTGTTAGCCCGTAACACTGCGTGTGATGGTTCGCGTCTTCTTTTCTCGCGGTCGCCCCGCTGGAGTCGGAACTGGAGTCGCTGCTGCTTCACGACGCTTGGGTTGGCTGCGCCTTTTCTTTGTTGTAGGCGCACGTTGTTTAGCGCGCTTAATGACCGAGAAGGCCTTTAATGCTCTTCCCACTCCATCAGACGTAACCACTGGTGAACGTTTATTCCGCAGGGTCGTCGTGACCGCTGCCGCCCGCTTCATCCCGGCAGGCCGAATTGCGGAAATCCCTCCAAATTTTCCGACCGGAACGGCGGTATTAGCATCCAGGCGCGACACCCTCCGAAGCTCCGATCTCGGGAATCTCCTAATCATAGATTTAAACGCGGAGATTCCAAGAGTGGTAGACAATCACAAGCGGAAAAAATGGCAGGAGCACCTTAGGACCTGCAACCTCTCCTCTGGGGCAGCCGAGCTCTGGGCTACAGTCCAGTCGCTGTCTAACCCGACGAGACGCGATGACCAGGTGGAAATTGCATTCGGTGATCGCGCTTCGTCGGACCCGAAGAGATGCGCGAGCTATTTTAGCCGACTTTTCACACTGCATCCCTCGGTAGACAAAGCGAAACCACGTGTAACCCGCCGTATGCGCAAACTGCCAAACACCAGCGCGGTGCATGATTTCTCCAGAGAGGAGGTTCAGGGGGTCATCGGGAAGGCGAAAGCCTCCAAATTCATCGGCCCCGACGGAATAAGCCTGCTGATGCTGAAACACCTTGGACCAGCGGCAACAGAATTTTTCACGAGGGTCCTCGATTTATCTCTGACCACCCTGAAGATACCCGATGTGTGGAAAATGGGTAGGGTGGTCCCGCTACTTAAACCGGGGAAACCAGCCAACAAAGGAGAGTCCTATCGGCCGATAACTCTCCTCTCCCCAGTAGCGAAGACACTTGAGGCCTTACTGCTCTCGACTTTCACTCACCATCTGCGTCCAGCAGCACATCAGCATGGCTTCCGAAAAGTGCACAGCACCACAACAGCACTTAACGCCATAAACACCCAGATAGCCTTGGTAGCTTTGGACTTGTCAAAAGCTTTTGACACAGTCAATCACTCAGTGATACCAACGGACACTGAGGACACTGGTCGACAATCATCGGTAATATTCCGAGGTGAAACATCAAAACCCAGAAAAATTAAATAGGAGGTTCCACAGGGTGGTGTCCTCTCCCCGCTACTGTTTAATTTCTATATCTCGCAACTCCCTCCTCCACCAGAAGGAGTTTCCCTATCCTTTTATGCCGATGATTGTACGATAATCGCGTCTGGGCAGGATTTTGATGACCTTTGTTCGCTGATCTCTCCCACTTCTTCACTGCAAGACAGCTACAAAATCAACCGACGAAATCCTCGGCTACCCTCTTCACCAGTTGGACGAAGGAGTACAGGCTTGAACTAGATGTGAAGGTCGATGACACAAAAAATCCGACGGTAAATACCCCAAAAATATTTGGAGTAACCCTAGACAGCCTGCACTCCTTCACTCCGCATATGACTGCAATTGCCGCGAAACTCCAGAGCCGCAACAAAATACTCAAAGCGCTAGCCGGCAGCACGTGGGGTAAAGACACAAAAACTTTGCTGGCTACTTATAAAACAATTGGCCGGCCGGTCGTAAACTATGCTGCACCGATCTGGGCGCCGGGGACGAACGAGACGCAGATGAAGAAGATACAGGCTTGCCAGAACACCGCCCTCAGGACCGCGACAGGAAACCTCCTAATGTCGCCGGAGCATCACTTGCACAGGGAAGCATCTATGCTACGAGTTAAGGAGCATAATGCTTTGCTGTGCAAGCAGTTCCTATTGGTATGCTACCGCATCTGCTATAGCAGACAAAGAGCTCGAGCAGCCTCGAGAGACCCGCGTGGCCCTGATACAACTCAGGTCTGGATACTATAGCAGGTTAAACTCCTACTTATCCAGACTAGACCCCAGCATACCCAACGTTTGCCCTGCATGTGGAGAGTCTCCGCACGACACTAACCACCTCTTCACATGCCCTCCAACTCATCTAACCCTCCGTTAAGCATCTTTTACATCAAAATTACCGGAATGAATCCGAAATTGTGCCTGATTGACTGTAACAGTATCAGGACAATAAACGCTATTAACATTTTCATCTTAATCGGTTTCTATCTTATCGAAGGAAAACTATAATATAGCGAATTCTCTCTTTGCTAGTATCAGTCTTTGACGCACGCTCAAACAAAAATGAGCTAACCAATCACAAAACTGTCAGAAATTCTTTTTTGGCAAGAAATGTCATCTTTCCAATGCCATTTAGCAGAATCCGATCGGAGTTATACAATGCAAGATACAGATAACTAACGCCGTCTATTCGAAAAATACTGGAAACCTCATCATAACAATACGATCCTGCATTCTATATATTTGCTTTGCAACAATACTTTGCAAACTCTTTCATTCTGGAATGCTTTTCATGCAAATAAGTTGCTTTTCTACAGATCACAAAAATAAGTAATATAATGTTTAAAAATAATAATTAGCGCAAAAAACTTACGTTCCGACGTCGGCCGTTTTTTACTAAGAATTTAGGACAGTTTGCGCGGTTGTGGTTAAGACCATTAACTCTCTGGTGTTTATGACGTTGCTGTGGTGTGCTGTTTGGTACTATGCAATTTGCGGAAGCCATGCGGATGTGCCGCTGGACTATGATGGTGAGTGAGCGCCATAGCAATAGGCCCTCAAGTGTCTTCGCCACTTCCAATGTGACTCTCCTTTGTTGACTGGTTTCCCGGCTTGCGTAGCGTGACCACCTT